CTTAATTACTACATTTAATACTTGACAGATAGTTCATAAAAACATTTTGTGTATCATCAATATCAAAATATTGATTGTAACACCAATCTCCTATTAATGAATTTTATATTGCACAACAAACATGAGAAGTGCCAAAACTTCTAGATACAAAGGCTCCCTATATTAGTAAAGGGGATCACTACAATCTTTCTATGAAGCGGGAAAAATGTTGCGGCATGAATTGGACTTTCACTTTCAAGTTGTAAGTCTTTTTCTATCTTATGCCATAGGGTGGCTAGATAAGTCGGCCCAACAAATACTCTTTATCTTCTCGGTCTTTCTTAATTCATTTATTTTTTGTCTCTTGGGGCAATTTTAATGCTTGAAATCAATTGGCAAATGCTTTCAAATTTGTCACCAGATGATGTTGGGACATAGAGTTCTTTTTTTCTTGCTAACTACGATTTTTTGGATTTTCTAGAACATCCGACTAATTCAATTATGCACATAAAATCTTTTCCTTTCGCACCGGGCAATCATCATGATAAATATTAGAGAATGACCTAAAGACAATATTCAACATCTCCAACTTTGCAAATTCGGTTCTTGGCTAATTATTCAACTAAAAAGACACTTTTACGGGCTAGAATTATAAAAAAAATGCCTCTCTCCATAGCAAAATACGAATACGTATATCTGACTTTTTCTTTTCCAAATAGCAGAAGAAAATTAGAACCATGCTTACCATAGTTTACTGTTACATTAGGAGCAAGAGGAAGACATGACATCCAATGATATGTAACTTTCTGAGGTTCCGTTTGGAATCAGTCTCACTGAATTTAGTATATAATAAGACAGTACATCTAGAAAGAAAGTGACAATGTGTTCATAAATGCAATATTTTCGAGTGGAACTGTGTATTTCCTCACTATGTCATTGTAGTTTTATATAAAAAGAAATGTTATTTATACATAATTTAGTGACCTTGTTTTGTGACATGATGGATCATAATAATTGAATTGATAGTGAGTTTTAATTAATAATAGGGACCACTGTCGATCTAATAATTGAGAATGATAAGGTCATCGAATAAGGAATAAGGTCGACGAAGCATTGTTCTTGGATAAAAGACTTTAAGTCTAAACAAGGTTTGGAAGTTTCTTAAACAGGTTCTGCTTCTTTACAATTTTAGTCTATTTCTAAAGTCAATAATCTAATTCATAAACATATACTCCACCCCATATGGGATTTTCTTAACAATATGTTACATATATAATATATTCTGTTCTCTTCTTCTTTTTTTTTTTTTTTTTTTATGCTTTGTGCATGGATTACTTGATACAAATATTGTACAAAAAATTCCCCGGGTTGGGTTTGTAAATTAGTTGTTGGGCATGAGTTTTCAGCTCAAAAGACACTTTAATAATTTATCTCTCGAACGGGACTTACAATGAATGACCATCACTATTCTCTCGTCCTACTTAGAGGGCCAAGTTCACACGGTGGCTTTGGTCATAACTTTGATACCACTTATTGGATATGAATTTTTAGCTCAAAAGGTGCACTTATATTGGATATGAATCACTCCATATGTGGAGTGATTCGCTCACTTATATAGCCCAGGACCCCACGTCACCAACGAATGTGAAACTCGCTTGACCCTTTTTTTTTTTTTTTGAAGGACGATTGACCCCTTAACATTAGTAATACTTTTTCTGCCTCATTTTCACTGATAAGCTTGTTTGGCAATGCATGGCCATGTTGTAAGTATATTCTTTAAATAACAATTTGCAACCGAATTTAATGTAAATGAATATTGGTATCAATTAGTTGGCATTGGTCGATAGTTCTCTCTCTTTATGGAAAAAAAAAAGATCTATAATTTAATTTTTATAAATAAGTTGTACCATATGGTATGTATGCACATTTGGAGAGTCCACGGGCATTGTTTCTTGCCTCCAGAGAGACAATATTTAATGTATGAAGATCTAGATCATGAGAGAGAAAAAAAGATCTGACAGATTGGTTTGGGGTTGAGAGAGAATATTTAATAAGTGAATGTCAAGATTTTTAAAGAGTGTGGAAATATATGGATGGTTGGGGGACTTGTTTGTTTGGATTTTTAATGTCAACAAGTTGCAGATTTTTCTTAGTGGAAAAAGAAAAACGTTTTGGCCCCACTCCCCCAAGTCAAACCTTACTTTTTTTTTTTCCTTTTCCTTTTTTGGCTATGAAAAAAATGGCGGAAGTAAAGAAGAGCGTCTAAAGACTACTTTGATAGATACTTATTAGTGGAAGTATGAGATTTTTGACCACACTCATTACTTCTCTCAGAAACGAATCTAATTAGATTAGTATAATGGTCAACTACTGAGCCCCAATGTAAAGTCAAAGACTCAAACCTCTAACCTAAATTAAGCCAGTATCCCACTCCACTCGATGGTAATCAAACCTTATTTTTTTCAAAAGAAGCGATAAACACACACACACGAAACCACTACAACACCGCCACTTAAAAGTAGTAGTGTCATAGGGCCTTATACACACACACCCAACCCCAAGACTATCCGATGTAAAATAACCCAACCCCTACTCCTCATTCGGTATCAACTGGGACCCCAGCGGACCTTGTCCTTATTTGAGTCCACCTTCTTAAGGTCAAATATCACACCCCTTTATACCCCAAAGTGACTTAATGTCAACAAAAGTGTAATTTTTTTTTTGAACTTTCATATATTCTAGATCATTTAGAAACATACAAAAAATTAGGTTCAATGGTTTTATACAATATAAAATTATGATTTAATCAAGTTTTAAGTTACGACTCAATGGAATCGACTCAAGTTTTAAGTTACAAGTTTTAAATTATGATCCCCTTACATACAATTGATCTTAAGTTCTTGAGATAAATTCCAAAATTCTGAACCCTAGTGATTTATAATTTTGACCTACTTGAATCTAATTTTGTTAGAAGCCCACACATTCCAAGTTGGGTGAGGTTACCTTGAAGCAAATCGTAATCATTTATGTTTTGGGTTTGACTCTCATTGGTGAGTCATGTTTTTGATGAATATATATGGTTGAGTCTGACCTTTGATAATTTAAAATTTTCAAATTCAATTCATTCTTACATCCTCTAAAAATCAGTCACTCTTATTTCTCAAAACATGTTTTAACTCAATTCAAGTCACTATGACAGTCGCAGATTTGTAGGGAATAGTCGACCAGAACCTGAACATTCTGTAACAAAATATGTGTGTTGGGAGGGGGGGGGGGGGGGGGGTTAGGTCAAGTGCAAGTATCCTAAATTTGCTCTCTAGGTGTAGGTCCAAAGTGGCCCTGCTCTTGAAAGATTATTGGTCACCAAAAAAAACTTAGATTCTTAGTACGTATTTCCTAATTTTTATAAAAGTAATAAAACTTATGCTTTTGGTTCCAGATTTATTCTACATGCATTGGAGTTTTGTGTGGTGCCCATATTTTTTTTGAATATACTTTTTTTCTCCAACACACTAAACCGAATTGGAGGCGAAGCAAGTGGATAGCCCCCCTCAAAATACAATAAGAATCCCTATTAATTGCTGACATAGTGAAGAGCGTGATTGTTTGACTCCTTACAAGCTTTGACTTTAAGCTTCATTGGTCTGTTGGATGACCAGATTGGTTGTAGACACAAACAATGACTTGTCTGTATCGGCTCATTGAAGGGTGCTAGCCTAACCCCAACAAACATTTCTACAATCTCAACCACTTTTTGTATGTTTTTCCCTCTCATGTATGTGGAAGAGAATTATGGGAATAAGTCTTCTCCTATGGCTTAACCCTGAAGAAATTTTTACTTAGTTTCGACTAATTATGAATAAGACTGAGAAATCATTCTGTCAAATATGTTTAGTAGTATTGATTGAGTAGATTGTCCAGTTTGAGTGTGTTTAGATTTGATTTGATTGTGACTGACCGATTATGAGTCCAAGTAAAACTTAGATTAGTGTTAAAATTCAGTATAGCAGAAACTTCTGTGATTTCGAGCTGAAACCGAGCTCAAGTTGTTTTCAAAGATTTTAATACTTAATCCGAAGATAAGTAGTTTCTCAAAACATGAATATCCAAAAAATTTAATCTCTATTGTGAAATCAAATCTTAAATATTCAAAAATTTTCAAAAATCATTCAGAGATGAGAGGCAAAGAGAAGTATATATATAGGGGTTGTTCAACAATAAAACTAATATTATCCATAGACAAACCTATTTTGAGTCGAGCCTACTCGAAGCTGACCACTTCTTGTTTGAAATCGGTTCGTTTACTTTCTATTTTGTAATTTGAATGAGTTTCAAAGGATTAAAACAAGCTAAGTTTCAATAGCTACTATAATTTAAGCAGGCAGAAATCTCGTATGTTAGCTAATATGATCAGTTTGACTATGTGTTGCAAGTTGCAAACAGCCCACAGGAATTTTATTATGCATGGTAGCTACTTTCGGTAGATGCAACCATTATATTATGCTTTGTATGTGAGAGCGAATTTTATATATATACTATGGATAATCCGTATTTAAAGGTACGACACAATATATGTGAATGATTGTAAGAAGAATGTTAATAGATGTTAGATGAGCCTATTTAAAACTGATGGATGAATTTATTGAAGTCTATCTTGATTATTTTAAATATTTTATTATCGATTGAACTGTTTAGATATAATTTAAACGTTTAGAAATAATTGAGAACCAAACCAAGGCCAAAACTTTGTTTATTAATTAGAAAAACCTATATTTTGACCCTCTCAATGGTTGAGGGAGAAAATTGAAACTAGAATCGTAATTTGGGGGTCAAAGTATAATTTTTCGTATTGCATGATACCATACTTTTGCCCTGCATTTTTTGTGTGTATATATAAAAGCTGTCTCCCTCCAACGACAACTAATAATACAACAACACCATGCAATATTATACTATTATCATCAATCTTGAGTTTAGAAATATTTTCTTTTGGTCCTTCCAGACAGAGACAACTGAAAGAAAACTCTTATATATACACACACGGTCTTCATGCACATGTTTGTGTTATCATCTGTGTATATACATATATGTCTTCTTTCATGGCTGTTTCTCTCGTAGATTAACATGGAGAGACAATTCATCAACTCAGTGACTCGTTTTCGTGTGACTCAGCTTCTCCTCATCACCACCACCTTGTTAGCTCTCTGTACCACCACATGGTTTGGGGTCGGAGCCGCCACAGACCAAGAGCTTGTAAGAGGCTTCAAGGCCACTCCAGACCATTCAATCTCATCTTTTCAAGCTCTACTAAGGGATTCCGCTGGGAACTACTCACTGGGTTTCCTCCGAGTCAACCGAACCGAACTGAGTCTAGCGGTTGTCCACGTTCCATCCTCTGAACCTCTATGGTTCGCCAACATGACCCGCTTGGCAAGATGGTCTGACTCGACTCAGCTTTTCTTCAATGGCAGTCTTGTAGTTTCTGATCCACAAACGAAGGTATTTTGGTCAAGTAACACCAACGGTGACCGTGTTTGGCTCTCCAACACCTCCAATCTCGAAATCCAAAAGCTTGATGGGTCTCACACCATTCTGTGGCAAAGTTTTCAGTTTCCCACAGATACCCTTGTGGAGAACCAGAATTTTACTAGTGCCATGTCACTGGTTTCTTCAAATGGGCTCTATTCTATGCGGTTAGGATCCGATTTTATGGGGTTATACGCAAAGTTCAATGGTGACTCGGGTTCGGATCAGATTTATTGCAAGCACAAAGCTTTAGAAGCAAAGGCAGATATAATTGAAGGCCAACCCATTTATGCTTTACTCAATCCGAATGGGTACCTGGGTATGTATCAAAACGGGTCAGCCCCGGTTGATGTTCAATCTTTCAACAGTTTTCAGCAATCCGGATCAGGGATCCGACGTGTCCGGATTGAACCGGATGGGAATTTAAAAGGGTATTACTGGACCGGGTTCAGTTGGATCTTAGACTACCAGGCAATCTCAGAACCATGTGAGTTACCAAGTTCATGCGGGTCATATGGACTCTGCCAACCGGGTAAGGATTGTTCTTGTCTAGACAACCGGACAGAGCATAACTCCGGCGGGTGCATCTCGCCGGAAAATGGTAATTCCGGTGACTTTTGCAGTGTGTATGATCAGAAGTACAAGGTCTTTAGAAGAAGTGGTGTGGAGTTACCGTATAAAGAGCTAATGGGAAGTCAAAAAATGGCCTCTCTAGAGCGATGTGAGAGTGCATGTGAATTGAATTGCTCATGCTGGGGTGCGGTGTACAATAACAACTCTGGGTTCTGCTACATGCTAGATTATCCCATACAGACCCTAGTGGGTGTAGGGGATTTGACTAAGGTAGGTTATTTTAAGGTGAAGGAGGGTGTAGGGAAGAGAAAGATGGATGGGAGATTAACGGTTGTGATTGGGTTGTTGTGTGGGTTGGTTTTGTTGTTTGGTGGGGTTGTGGGGATTGGGTTGTATAGGATTAGTAAGAGAAAGAGAGGAATACGAGGTATGTGGACGAGGATGGTGGGGTAGGTGTGGGACCATATAAGGATTTGGGGGCTGCTAGCTTTAGATCAATTGAGCTTTGTGAAAGATGATGTAAGGGATGACATCTATTGGACTGTTTTATCAACTGACTTATTTTTGTTTTTTTGATTGTGGGGCCAACCAAAATCCAATTGGTTGCTGATTATATATTGTCCTTTGTTTCTACTTTCTATAACAGAGGGTCATCTCAATTTAATTGTTTTTGATGTGTAACACAAATTTTGAATGTATAATTATTTATAAATCATGTAAAATAAATTAAAACTCTTTTACTTGATGGGAATTTGAGATTGAAATTTTTAGGGATTTAATTTGAAGATCTAATGATGTAATTTTAATATCTATATAATAAAATAGCTTACAATTCAAATTTCAAAAGATAAACAAAATGATTTTTGCTATTCGCGGTTAAGATCACTTTAAATTTTATTTTAAAGTTAATCTAATGACTAATATTAACACCCTAAATTTAATAGAAAAAATAGGTCCATAATGATGTGTTTAAGTGACTTTTTATAAGTACTTTTATAAATTATTTCTCATAAATATATTTTTTAAAAAAATTGTGTTTGAAACCGTCCCATCACTATTCCTACCACCACCACCATCACCGTCACTGCCACCATTGCTGCTGCTACCCCACCGCCACCATCACCCTTGCCACTTTGACCACTGCCTCCCCACTGCCACCGTTACCACCATCATCGTCGCTGCCGCCACCACCACCATTGACGTCGCCCTCACCGTCACCATGATCATTGTCATCCACTACAACCATCACTGTCTCCTAACACTACTGTTGCCCACCACCTCTCACTTCCACTACAAACTGATGCTTAAATTTATTTATTTCTTTTCTATGTTTATAATTTGATTTTGAATATGAATATAAATATATTTATTGTTTACTATTTTTTATTATTTTGTGCTTTCAGGCACAAACAATAATTGGTAATACTATAAAACATAACTTATGATCTTGGATCGACTGTCAATTGACCTTTAGGTAGTACGCATCCATGGGATTCCATCCAACCAAAGACATGTAGATTCACTTTTTTCTTGTTTCGACCTTAGAAGCCACCTCATTAATTAGAATCTGCTTCAGGAGACGACTGAGATGATTAGAGTAAATGACGAGTATACACTCAACCATTTACGAATGCGAAGCTTTAACACCCTTATAATTTCTGTTTGAATGCAAGATAAATGATTTGTTATTATATAAATTTGAAGAAAAGTATATTGAACAATTTGCTTATTAGATAGTAGTGGGGTGTGGGGAGCTACAATGTTCTCATGTGCAAAGTCATGGGTTGATGTACAAAGGAGATCCTTGTAATTGATCTCATCTTTGCCACTTTAATACAAGGTTACATGAAGACGAAAATGGCAGTATGATGAGATTTATTGGTGTCCTTTGGAAGCATATATATTATATTCAATTCAAAGTGGATATACTTTTTGTCTATTTTCTTTTATAGTAATGACCCGACACTAAATCAAAGTATGGTGAAAATCTCGCTAGATTTGGAATATAGTTTCTCATCTCATTTCTTAAAGTTTAGTTAAAGGAATCTTGGGATGTGTAAATTATTATTTTTTGTTCCCGTAATCGTAAACGAGTAACTTAAATATATAATACACACTCATACATATATATACTCATTCATATAGATATATTTTGATAATTCTACAAAGTTTTTATCGTTCATATGTATATGAAAGGAGACGAGTCATCGGCAATCCTAATGAAACCCTCTGTTCGCGTTTGACCTGGTTTCCGGCGATCACTAGGGCATGCTTTGAATTGCAGTTTGAGTTTTGTACATATATTTTTCACTTTTCTAATGAAATTATTGCTTTCTTACCAATTATTTTTTAAAAGGAATAAACTTAGAGGTTGTCTCTATTGGTTTTGTTTAGGATAATTACAAGAAAAAACATAGCATAGGATTTTTGACTAGTAAACTTGAACGAAAATTGTATAAAGAGTTCAACTAAAGTTTAAAAATCTAACTTAGGATAATATTCGGATTAAAGGATCTGAATTGAACTTAGGTACAATTAAACCCGTGTTGAGAGTTTCATATGTTAGGTTGAGTATATATTTTATAATCAAATGGAATTTATAATCATTTGGAGAGATTCCAAGGAAAGGAAATAGGAAATTAGATAGAAAATAGTTGTACTACTTGAATGGAAAAATTGGGTGTGAGAATACTTTTTATGTTTTATTTGAATATAAGTTCTTAGTTTTAATATGTAAGTATTTAAGTCCAAAATAAGTATCAAAAATTGTAAGTAATTACACTTTTCATTTTTTTTTAATGTTACCTAATTATTCCTGCATAACTAATATGTAAGTAATTGAAAAAAAAAAATTACAGTGTTATTGTGGTGACATATACAATTGTTTGAATTTTAAAAAACTGATATAAATTCATTTGACATTATCCTTTAAAACCAATAGTTTTTCTTCTTCAACATTTTAATTTTCTTTGAAGAAACTTTTTGTTTTACATAGCATGCAATAAATTTTTTTTATTTTTTTCCGTGTAGCGAGATTTGGGCTTTTTTTTTCACCCTTTTTCAAAGTTTCATCTTTCTTTTTGCCCGATAGAAATTGCTTAACTAGATGCGTTGATTTCGTCTTTTCTTTATTTCTTTATTTTTTTTTATGAATCAAATTCTTTTTTATTTACCAATTGTTGATTTCGTAAATCAGAATTTTATAGATAAATTGGTTGTAAATCTTTCTTTAAATTCAACTTAAGTTCAAATTATTCACCATAAATTTTATAGAGAAGTGGTTGCAATTTTAAGACTAAGGGGAGTTGATTTGGACTTGCTCAAATTTCTCGAGAAGATTTATTTTTGAGTAGACAATGAACCAACATCAATTTAGCAAATCAATGAAAAATAACAGCGTGCACTATTCACGCTACAGTAACAGTGCACTATTCACTCTTTTTAGGGTGATGATTTGAGGACAAATCCTTTTCAAGAGGAGGGGAATGATACAAATCATAACACAACTTCAAGAGATTTAGTTCAAGTTCCAATTGGGCCGGTTACGAGAGCACGAGTAAGGAAGTTAAAGAGATACTCAATGGTTTGATTCAAGAGACATGAAATCAAGCAAGTTCGTGGAGGCCCATTGACCATGATCCTCTTGGGCAGCAAAGATTCATCAACATGATTCAAGTTTTAGAAGAATCTACCTAGGGGCTAAGGCCAAGCTTAAATTGGCCTATTGTAGTTAATGCCTCCAATTTGTTTAAAGGATTAGTATTATTAGAATAAGTGGGCTTGAGGATGCTTAGCCCACATGTTTTATTTCTTATGAACTAGAGCTTTCGTAGTTACTGTAGCGTCGCACTAATCACGTTATAGTAACTGCGCACTATTTACTCTTTTTACGGTATAATTATAAGGCTTGTTTGTCAAGTACTTTCCTTTTTCTATTTAAGCATGTGTTCAGCCAATTAAATGGCTGAATGTTTTTCTACTCTTTATTTTTCCTTCTATTTTTTTTTCCACCAACTGATTTGATCACAAACTAAATAATAAACAATTGACAAAACTCTAACAATAACTCAAACCCTTGAACAATGAATTTTTTTTTTTTTTGTAACCCCAGAATAATGAAGCCCTAGAAACAATTATGCAAGAAATAAAAAGATAGGATATGACTTGATTGGAAACCTTGCTTTGATACCAAATGATGTGAAATCCGCTAAGAATAACGAGAACCAACAACCAAAAGGATCCCAAAATTGTTTTACGATCAGATTTGATGCTAGACCTCGACCCATTATTTACGACAAACAAGAACCTTGGTATATAGACCTCAACCTGTTGTTTGTGAAACAAGAACCTCGGTATAAAGGAAGACGCCACAAACGGTGTGGAAACTCGTTTGATAAGTCGCTGGTGAACGCCACGAAAAATTTCGATAAGTTCGTTTAGTTCTTCAAAGAACCATAGAGATAATACTCTCACAATTTGCTGAATAATAATCTAACTTTTCATTGATTTGAATGCCTATTTATAGGCTGGTCATTACAAAGATTAGAAAACTTCCTAAAATAGCTATCCTATTTAAGAAATATCTCTTACTTGTTGGTAAAGAAATATCTCTTATTTTCCTAAGAAAAAGAAAGACATTCAGCCCTTTGATTAGCTGAACACATGCCTAAATAGAAAAATGAAAGTACTTGGCATACAAGTCTTACAATTAGACCGTAAAAAGAGTAAATAGTGCACAGTTACTGTAGCGTGAACATTGCGGTGCTACAGTAACTACGAAAGCCCTAGTTCATAAGAAATAAAACATGTGGGCTAAGCATTCTCAAGCTCACTTATTCTAATAATACTAATCCTTTAAACAAATTGGAGGCATTAACTACAATAGGCCAATTTAAGCTTAGCCTTAGCCCCTTGCTGGATTCTTCTAGAACTTGAATCATGTTGATGAATCTTTATTGCCCAAGAGGATCATGGTCAATGGGCCTCCACAAACTTGCTTGATTTCATGCCTCTTGAATCAATCCATTGAGTATCTCTTTAAACTTCCTTGCTCATGCTCTCGTAACCGGCCCAATTGGAACTTGAACTAAATCCCTTGAAGTTGTGCTATGATTTGCATCATTCCCCTCCTCTTGAAAAGGATTTGCCCTCAAATCATCATCTACATCAAAATGACTCAAATCAGTAACATTAAAAGTAACACTTACATTGTACTCAGCAGGTAAATCTAGCTTGTAGGCGTTGTCATTGATGCGCTCTAGGACTTGGAAAGGACCATGTCTCCTGGGAAGCAATTTGGAACGTCTTTGTGCCGGAAATCTCTCTTTTCTCATATGCAACCAAACCCAATCTCCAGGTTCAAAAATCAGCTTGTGACGCCCCTTGTTGGCTTGTTTTGCATACTGCTCTGTTCCTCGCTCAATGTTGAGTCTTGCTTTTTCATGAATCTACTT